AAGGATGCATTCATATTCATAATTCTATATTCACATTCCACCACATATATATATATATATATATATATATATATATATATATATATATATATATACCGGTATATATAAAGTGAGATAATTCACACATAAGCAGTAAAAAAGACATTAACAAGTACAGTCTTTCACTGCTTATCCTGGCTGTGACAGCTTAAAAATCCCTACTTTTTAGGAGCATCATCCTCCTTTTCAAAACTCCTAGCTATCTTTTTATTTAATACAACATTGCCCAGGTCCAGCTTTATGTTTCAATAAAATAAGATCCATAAAATCTTTCTAACACTAAGAAGAAAAGAGAGCTACGTAATGACCCAGATTAAGCAAACCTGTCACGGCACATGCATGCATCAACTTCAACTCCTTAGATAGTCATATCTTTCTGTAAATGCCCTTGGTATGGTCTTGCTTTGAATCATTTTTATGATGCTCTCAGACTATGGGCCACATGCTTTACTCCAGCACTGGTCACATGAGCAGCTGGTAGCGTTAACAGTGGCGTGCAGCACAGGCCACATGAACCCCATAAAACGACTCTTGCAGCGAGGAAGCTGTTGGCTTATGTCTAAAGTTGAATGCAACACAAACCAAAGATTTGAACAGTCTTAAAGCTTACTGTAAGAGCAACTACATTTTTGCTGAGCAGGAGAAATCTTCTTCAACTTTATCTTCAATTTCTCACATCAGCATTTAAAAGGGCAATGTGTGGATAAAAAACATATGCAACATTTAGTCATGCCATTAAAAATAGTCATGAGGTATATATATGTTCGAACTTGCTTTACTGAGCAGGTTCACTCATTACGACTCAGTCATAATGTCAACAGTGATTTACAAGCATATTAAGATGTTCAAGATGGGATGTTCGCAGGTTTATGTGGCATGTGACATATCGGGTGTCAATCCAGTTTTCTCATCTTCCAACAGCCGTGGACCACCGACACACGAAAATATCACACGCATTTACTGGGTGATGCTAGATTTGTATAAATACTTTACATGAGAGAAGTCAAACATGTCAGAAATGAAAGGTCAACACTGTGGCCACAGCGCCAACAGTTTTGTAAAACAATACATTACGCTGGGAAATCTCATGTCATTGTTCAGTTCATTTATTTTAAATTGTACGGATGTCAATTAAAGGCCCTCTTTTCTTATCATAAACGTGATGTACCTATTCAATTAACCGGCCTCAATTCCGTTGAATTCAACAAAAGCTTTATGAAACGGCGGCAATAATGTGGTAGGATATTTTATAGTATATGAAGTCATGTATTGGAAAGATGTTCAGTTGAGTACTTTAGATTGAATTCAAGGTTTAGTTCTGAAATGGTTAGCAGGAAGCTGCAGTAAGTATTATACAGTACAGGTCACACACTGACCTCAGTCAGTCAGTCTTTTCTATTCACTGAGGTATGAGGAGCTTAAAGTGGCTGCTGTTCACACCCTGCTCTGCTGTTAGATCATAGATTCATAACTCATGCTCAGTTCAGCCCTGTCATGCTTTACCTCTAATGTTGATCCAGTTGGAATTCACAGCCTATTTTGCAGATCAGTAGGGCGGGTAGTTTACCGGCTATTGTGACAAGGAGAATTGTTTCAGAACAAAGAGCCACCGAGTTAAGACAGCATCAGCAATATTTACTGTTAGGACAGAAATGTTTCGAAATTATGACTCAAAATAATCTTAAAGATAGAAGAGCATACTCACGTTGCTATGGATACATAATAGGATTGTTTTAATCAGTTTGCAATCAAATCTATAGTATAACTCTATTAGTGCCTGTGTGTGTGGTGTTGATGTTAGCCATCGGTGCGTTTTACAATCAATATTTGGAAATGTGAGCTTCTTCCCACCAAAGCTATTATCCAAAAAGCTAGGAGAAGAAAGAGTACATGGAATAACAGGAAAAGCTTGTAGTTGAATCAGGAAAATATTTTTCTTGGTCCAGGCAATGCTCTGCCTGTTGTCTTTAACTAAACTGGCATTTGAATATACACTATATTTATGAGTCATGCAATAGAGAATGGTTTTGAAAACATGAGAATTCAAGCAGTTAACTGCTGCTCGACCCAGACAAAGCCTTTTTTTTATTCTCTATTGGGAGGTCTACTATATTGATTGACATTCTTAACGATGTAAACATGATGGTCCCGGCAGACAGGCTGGCTAATAGCAATGACTCATCAAAACAGATTGTGTGTATCCTTAAAGGTGGGGTAGGTAAGTTTGAGAAACCGGCTCGAGATACACTTTTTGTTATCTTCCATGGAATGCTCTTAACATCCCGTTAGGAATTAATATCTTAAGTGCTTTGACAAAAAATCCATTAAAAAAGGTCATCATCCGTAGTGCTGTAAAAAGCACGACCAATCATTTTAGCCGGCTAAAGTAACTGGATGGACTACCTGCCTGTCAGCCTTCCATCTTTTCACAAACTTATCTCGTGCCCTCATTGGTCATGTGCGCGTTCGTGTGTGTTGGAGGAGGGGCTCTGTAAGGAAGTGGCAGATTTTTTTCGGCTGTGTATTTTCAAATTCGAGCGCACTCGAGCTGGTTTCTCCAAAATTACCCACCCCACCTTTAAGGTTTTTAAAAATGTTTGATGTACTGAAGGATACTATTCCTTCTTCATAGAACATAATTATGTAACGCTACCTTTCTTAAAATGTTTGAACCAGAAACGGTAACCAACAGAAAACACTCGACTGACTCATTCAAAATTAATGTTCCATCAGTCTATTTTAGTGAAGTGACATTTGTCATCCTACCTTTGGCATCCATGTGGGTGGTAGTAAAGATTGCTATATCCTAGTAGAGACCCCTGCTGCGACTGGATCTGACGGATCATAAAAAATAATGAATTAATAAACAAGTCATCCTTGAACATCACTCCCTCATGCTGCCGTTTAAAATGACATCAGAAATTACATGAAGAAAAGTTAAAGAGGAATTTTGGATTCTATTAACTGTGACTTTTCCTAAGGTTTTGCATTTTGGCAGAAAAATAAGAAATTACTCAGGAAGTGAAGCAATGCTTGATTAAAACTATTGTATATTTGTATTATACAAATAAAGAACAGTTTACAGCCCAAGTTTACATCAAGAAAGAAAGACTAGTTATATGCTGACTGAAAACAAATCAGAAGTATCCATTTCAAGCCTGGTAAGAAATTACAAATCACGATGTTGAAGAAATACTAGACTCCAGTCAAATTTAAAGAGGATTTAAATGTTGGGAAATTTGATAACACAGCATTGAAAAAGCAGCTGCATGGCGTGCGGCCAAAGATGATCATGTTTTGAGTGTTTTACTGTAGTCTGAGTCAGCAGATGAATGAAGGCCAAAGCTAAATGTTAGCCAGTGCAATAAAAAAAACATTTTTGACAGGTTAAACATTTGCTTCCCCGTTTAATTAGTAATCTTAATTCCTGTTTTAGAGAAGCTGTTACTGTACGTTCTTAACTTTATTGAATGTATGCGTTTCCCTTATAAGTCTCTCCAGGTTGTTGCTTATCTTAACAATTAACAAAAACCAAAATAAAATGTAACTAATCCAAGTATAACTCAAAGGAATTTGATGTCTCTATTGTATCCCCAATATCCCGACTAAGAACTGGAAGAGTACATTTGCAAATTCAGCCAAACACTGAATTATTATGCATAAGATGATCGGGAATCAGTGTAAGTCAAACCTCACAAAGTCTAGAGTTGTTCAACGTCAACAAATATTCCTTGACATCAATTGTGACTGCCAGGCAGGGCTTCTGCTGCTTCTGCTGAATACCTAAACAAATACACTCTCTTCCAACAACAACAACAACTTTAAAGCAAAATAACTCCTGGAAGCTGCCATTCAATTATTAATGGTGATGTTGTCAATGAGACATGCCACATTGACTTTAATCGCTTCTATTATCTATTGCAGTTGAGAGAATCTTGCTGAATCTCTCGAGGAACCAAAGGACTCAAGATGTTCAAAAGATCTAAAGTGACGGATGCGTCGGCCACTGGCCAAGGTATGCATCACATTTTATACAGGAGAAACGTCTTCTATCAAATGTACTTTTTTCTTTTCCTCCTAACTCTGATGATTAGAAGCACAGCGGTGACAGGTTTCAGTGAGATTGATTTCCAACATTCTCGACTAAGTAATAAAATGACATATTCCCAGATCAGAGTCTAACAGAACTGATAGAATGAGGTTGGCGAGGAGATCTACTAATACATCTAAGAAAGGTTCACACTGTTTGCTTATTTTCTATGTCTGTATGATGTCTCGAAACGTAAGTTACTTCCTATTTGCAGGGCTTAAAGTTATGTCTTACTATGTTTTTACCTTGGAGGTTAGGGTAGTATTTATTTTTTATTGAACTCTTCTTTTTTGGTTTTGGTTTGTGAAGCACTTTCTGTCACCCTTTGTGAGGGAAAAATACTTTAAAAATAAAGTTTGATTTGATTTAAAGGCTACATCTCAGTCATAAAGACTTCAGGAGCGTTTCCCTGTGATTCTACTCCAATCACAGACTTTATTCAGAAAATCGTTAAGGCTGCAATGTGTCCATTAGCAACTATATTTAGACTCTTCAAGAGTATATGAAGGTCTAACAGTAAAGTAGTTAGATATACACACTGATCATAACACTGTGTACACTGGAGGAGCAGAGTAACTCTACAGGGTTACTAATCCAGTGCACCTGTGAACCAGATATTTATCATATTTGTTTGTGTGCATTGATAAGTAACAGCACACACATCCCATTGTATAACTTTGTAACCTTTGAGTTTGAGTGTTATCTATAATAAAAAGTTATTTCCATTCTGACATGTGATGTATATGCTCTTTAACTTTTGCCTTATCAGATCCTGATGCAGATTTGAATAGAGAAGGTAGGTTAGGAGACAACAGAGAAGCTGTCAGCTATCTGTTTCCCCCCTGACTGCTCATGAAGGCATGAAGAACTGATATACAATCAGTTATTTGTAAACCGTACATGCATACATATGTACGCTTAGATATGTGGGTGCATCACTACATATCTGTTCTCAGGTTGAATTTTAGGCATGGATTCACGGATGACAGGATAAAGTTATTGAAATGTATTGAACATTAAAGTATATACACCAGAGCAACGTACGTATATCTCTGAATGATAAACTGATAAAGCGAGTAACACAAAACATTCCAATACATTATATATTAGAAGGGGCTTCAGCATGTTTGGAAAAAGGGTGATGACCTCATTACAAAACATCAATAGATTTTGAAGGTTGGATATGATCATGTTTTTCATTCTGTTCCCTTTTTGAGTGTCAAATGCGTTGTCACTGACATTTCATTTTGCAAATCTGACAGTGGGAATCAAGAAAAAATCTAGAGTCCCTGGGGTGATGATAACACAGTATATCGAGGAGCTGCCAGAGGGAAAGACCCATCCAGACTTCACCCGCAAACCAATTGCTTTGACCATCCAAGAGGGTAGGACTGATAGTACAATAATTATATTAAAAATGTATATCTCAAAATATAAGGAGGGGAATTTTCCTGAATCTGTACATGAATTAGATCTGCGACTTTTGCATCTGTATATTTGCAGATGTATAATTTATTTTATGATTCAACCTTGTTTGTCTTTTTTTTCAGGCAAATTTGCTTATTTTAAAGCAATTGTCACTGGAGACCCACAGCCGACAGTAACATGGAGCAGAAATAATGGAGATGTGTCTGACACAGCAAGATATCAAACTAAATACGACCCCAATACTAATGACCATACATTTGAGGCAAGTAAAATGGGTTTTCAAATTTCAGGAATACTATACAGCAAAATAAAGATGTAAGAGGGGCGTTAAAAATAGCAAATGAAAAATAGATTAATAGAAAGAGAGGAAGAGAGGGGAAAAAGAGGAAGCTATTTTGATCATGTCAGTGCCATCCAGTCTTCTTTTGCTTTGACAATTACTTTTTCTATAATAAGGTGATTTCACTCATCCTGAGAGGAGCACACTGAAAAAGATATGTTTCACAAAAATAAAAAAAACAGAGGACCTTTCAACTGACAGCTGTTTGAGATTGAAATGTAAAATAAAAGGTATGCGGCGACGCATCAGGAGGCCATCTACAAATCAAGCAGTGTGCAAAGCCTTTAATTGTTCAACGTCATTAGTCTGTCATGCTCACGTTCTCACAAAGGGAAACATATCTATGTATAGCCCTATTGATTGGATTCTGCAAATCAGCGAAGGACAGTTTGGTTAAAAAAAATCCATTTGACATACAGTAGCTGTGAAAGTCTGACATGACTTGATGTGTGAGCACAAACCATAAAAGCATAGGATAAAATCTACCAAAAAGGATCCAGGAAACCAAAATTCATTATCAATGGATATTTGGTTTGCTCTGATTTCTTTTTGGTTACATAACAAAAGACAAACATAATGGTAATCACTGTACAGTATAATACACATTTCCCCTAAAGGGTCTTGTATTTGAAGCATGTCTTATATCTTCCAGATGCCAAATGTTATGCCGGATCAGGCTGATACCTATAAATGCTTTGCTAAAAATGAATTTGGTCAAGCCGTGGTCACAGTTGTCCTGAATGTGATAGAAGGTGAGCACTGCCTGTTTTCATCATAGTGTATCAAGTAGTATGTGAGAGTCATTCATTCTGGAAAATTACACAGGGACTCTATTTAGTGTACTACAAATTGAGTACACTTGGAATTCAATTTGGACAGTTTATTACTTTATACCCTTGAGTGTAATGTATCGCCCTGCAGTTCCAGTAGTATAATGACTAATTATATGATTGTATTAATAACGTGGTCACCCTCTTTCCTGCTTTCAGTTGGTTTCAATAAGAACGCTGCCCAGAAACCAGCAGCTGAGGCCATCAATGGGAATTTTAAGAATGTACTCAAAAGGAAAAGGTTGTATGACGTGTGTTATAGGTCTTCTGTGTACAGTAGAGTTTTTTTTTTTTTTTAACTAAACGCCCCCCTAATTTTAATTTCCAGTAAGGTCCTTTCCAAATCTGAACAACCTGAGAGAAAAGATGGGGAGATCGATCCTAGATTTTGGGAGCTTTTACTTAGCGCTAAAAAGAAGGACTATGAGGCGGTTTGTGCAGAGTTTGGAATAACTGACTTTCGCTGGATGCTCAAGAAGCTTAATGAAATTAAGAAAGAAAGGGAGGAAGAACAAGCTGAGGTTTGTTTTTGTGTTATTTTTTTTTTTTCTGATCAAGGAGTTTGAAGCTGTGTAGTTACATTACAAAATTGCATATGAAGCAATTCTGTGACCATGTTCATTTTTCATTTTGTTTTTGTTCCAGTTCGTCAAAAGCTTGTCCAACCTGAAACCAATGCAGTTCAGTTCAGAATCTTCTGCATCCTTTGAGATAGATATGGACCTTATTGATCCAAGCAGCTCCGTATTCATATACAAGGTTAGTGTGTAAACAAATTCAAACTCTCACAGCAAATCTATGAATCCTAGAAGCCATACTCTAAAGGAATTAAGGAATTATTCATTCAATTATTAAACTGCAATCTGGCCAAATCTTGTAAAGATGAATCAAATATGTTGCTGTAATAACTCATTGATGATTAAACAGATGGACCAACATCATTGGGCAAATCTGACAGTAGACTATTTCTTGCTAGGATATTTACAGCACAGGAATATGTATAAAGCTTATGGTTGTTGATGAAGTCCTATGATGCTTTCCATTTTAAGTCAAAAAGGGACATTTCTTACAGCTATGTTTTACAGACACAATAGAGTGGTGCTGGAAAGAGTATAAGACCTGGAAATAAGTTAGCATGTTACCACTTCCGGTCTCAAATTCAACGTTCTTTTGGAAGTGTTTGCTTCGAAACCTTAAATGAGATTTTCATGTTTTGTTATACGACATAAAATGTGTCAGTAAATACACCATTTGTGAATGGTGGGAGCTTTTATGTGACTTGAAAACACGGCTGTTGCTAACAAGTTCCTAAATGAGACTACTTGACACCATGACAGCGAGTCAGCCTTAAGCCTTAAGCTTAGTGGTGTTGCAGTGAAGTCTTGTTCATAGCCTACGTGAGCTTTTTACTGCGGCGATTGCATTTACGATTGAAATATCGGCAGCGGTGTTAATATGCTGTACAAAACGTGTAAGTATGATAAACTTGTGTTTGCCATGGATCTTATTTTCTGCAATTTTCCAAATCCTATGGAAGAATCCCCTTGCATTTTGGCTGGTGCTAGTTTTTGCCTTGTGCTAACTTCCGGGTCAGCCTACAAAAATACGTTATCAAGCACAACTCTTTTTAAAGCATTCCAAAAGGATATTATGTTAATCGTATATTTGCCCCGCAGGATGGTGTAATGATTCCGTATACAAAGGACATGGGAGAACAGATGAAGCACACACTCAAACAAGTGGGGAGAAAGTTTATTTTCAGCATGAAGGACCTTTTGCCAGACGATGCTGGACTGTACCAGTTGGATGTAGAGGGGGTGAATATGTTTTCCACAGATTTTAAAAGTAAGTTTCACACACAACACATTTGTATCCCTAATTAAAACAAAGGAAGACAACTGTGTTTGATGTTTCCCTTGAAATAGCCATGATTGAAACGTTTTAATTAGGCAGATTTAACGTAAGAGTTTTAATCTAAAATACTTTGCTTCTTGTTTTTCAGTCCCCATGGTGGATTTCTTGGTGAAAATTCAGGAAGTGAAGGCAGTAGAGAGACAAGATGCTGTTTTTGAGTGTGTCCTGTCAAATCCCTTCTCCAAGACATTGTGGTTTGGCAAGAATTTGCCACTGGAACAGGGGGATAAATATGATATCCTGGTTTCAGATGACAAGCTCATTCACACACTGGTGGTCAAAGACTGCATGATTGTAGACAAAGGAATTTATTCAGTCTGCGCGGGAATCAAGTCTTGCAATGCCTGGCTTGTTGTTGAAGGTAAGGTATTATACTTCACCGAACTCTTCATAATATTGAATAACGCTAATAGTTTTTAGTGGAATAATAACAAGAAAGAATAAGATGCCTGATGTATCCTGTCTATTATTGCTTTTCATATCATAGTATGGCATTTCAAGGTCAAACTAACAGAAGATCTATATTATTTCTTTTTTAATTCAGCCGATAAAGATGCTCAAAAGGGAAAGAAATCAGTAAGGAAAACAACAAAGGCAGGAGGATCAGGGATGGACCTGAAGAAGTTAGCCGAAGAGCAGCAGACGAAATTAGTAAAGGAAAGAGAGGAAATAAAAGAACAGATTAAAGCTGTTGCAGTTGCACCTCCACCTCCAACTGCACCTGAACCTGAGCCTGAACCTGAGGCACCCAAAGACCCTGAGCCGGGTAAGAAAGCTGACCACAAGGTTTATGGAAATCAGTGTTGAATTCACAAACATGGACGCCATGTTAGAAATCTTGAATTGTAGGCTTAGTCTCTGTGTGTTTCCTTTCTGTTATTTATTTTTCATCTCCATTAATTGCAATATCTTTATTTCACAAAATGGTACCTTTCGCAGAAACAGCATTTTTGTTTCATTTTAGTTGAAATAATTTGAGAAGTTGAAATGGTCTCAGGGAATTACAATAATGGGCGCATTTGCTGTAGCCATTTGCATATAACACTTGCTGTGATCATCATTTGTTGATATGGTAACCACTAACTTGTTTTGATGGTTGATAGAAATCGTGAAGGAACCAGATCCACCCGTGGTAGAGGAAGTAAAACCTGGTAAGAAGCCTAAATGTCTGTGACAACCCCTGCATGCAATATGAACATTCATGGCATTTTGAAATACAAAACTCCCGTAAAAGGGTTCTAATCCTGATATACTTCGACATATAAAATCTGTTTCGCAAAGTTGTTTACTCCGTTGCTGAGGTCACTGTAATGTTTTGGCTTTTTTTTTCTGTTGTGTTGTCTGCTCATTATGTGATTGCCTGTCTCCTTAAGGTCAGGTTTTGCCTGATTGTATTTAGCTCATTTAGATTAACTGCCAATATGCTAAGCATGTCTTGTTTCTACATAGCTGTATACTGTGGTATTTAGTGTACTGAGAAATGCTCAAATGAACTAAATACTGCAACACGGATGAATAGATGCAGATTTGGTATACCTCGTTACAACTTACTCTCTAAAGCTTGCATCCATTCGCTTTATTAGATATAAGGTTTTCCCTTTAGCAACCACACCACACTGTAGCTTACGGATGTTTTAGCTCAATTTCTTTACTTTTCTTTTCTAGTTTTTAAAGCACGCTTTATTTTGTATTTTTGTATTAATTAACTCAATATTGCTAGTGATAGCTGATCGGTCTCAGTATTATGTTTTTTCTTATGTTAATGCTATTATTACTTTAGTGCCTGTGTATGTGCAGACCTGTTGAAAGTTATTCATACAGACATGATCTTTACATTCAAAAGTAAGGTCTCTGCGACACAATAAAACATGAAGAAATGTAACTACCGGTACTTGAAATGGATCAAAAATCAACCCCTCTCTCTCAAGCCCGCAACACTGTTTGAAAACTATAAAGAGACCATTTTCAAAGGAGCATATTCTAGAATCAGCCAGCTCCACAAGCCTATGGCCTGCTGTAATTACAAAAACATTGAATATAGTTTGCCACAGGGGTATGCTTTGCAATATGGTAAGGAGTAATTATGACTGTACGAGATTTGTAGAAAGTTTCCTGTGTTACAACATAAAACAGAAATTAAAAGGTACAAATCTCAAATGTTCTTTAGGTCATTCTGTCAAAACATCACCAGCACCAGCTGGAGAGTCGGGAAGTGGTAAGAGACACAACAGTCGATCAAAAATAATCAATAATTTACAATATCAAGTTAAATTGACTTACTAATGTTATTGCTGTCAGGCTGCTCAGCTGAAAAAGCCACTTGCGCTGAAAGACTCGATCCAGTAGAGGATGTGGGAGTTGGTATGCCAGATAGTGAATACTGTAAGAAGATATTAACATATGTATTAAAAAGACTAATTAAATAAATTATTTTAACAAAGCGTGCAAATGTTTATGTTTGTTGCTATGGCAAGCTGCGGAAAAGAAGAGTAAGTGTAAATGATCTGTCGAAAATGCACTAAAACATTCTAAAGACTATGACCCTAAAACATAACAAGCTTTATGTGTCTAAATGAAATTAATTAATGAAAAAACTCAAATGTTGGATACAATGTTTTAATGTCTGTGATCGCTGATAGGTCATTCAGACAAAACATCACCAGCACCAGCTGGAGACTCTGGAAGTGGTAAGAGGGACACAGTAGAGCATATCAAATTCGAAGGAGTCATTTTTTGAAATTGAGTTTAATAGACTTATTGTACTAATATTATTATTGTTATGCCGCTCAGCTGAAGAAGAAATTGCCGATAAAAGACTTGACCCACCACTCGCAGATGCAGGAGCTGGTATGCCAGACAGTGAATACTGAAAGAACAAAAGTAACACATTTAAAAAAAAAACTAATTGTTTGCATTAAATCATGCAGAAGAATTACGGTTTGCACTAGTAACAAAATATACTTTCAAAGTTAACACATTTATATCTAATCAATTTATTGTATTCTCTTTAACATCTTGGTTGTGTACATTTACATTTTTTTCTCTAATTTAGACTGCAAAATTAGAACCGAGAGGGAATGAAATAATAAATAACACATGGATTTATTTTTGTATATATAATACTTATACTAATTTAAGATGTCTTCTTAAAAAGTCTTGTGAGCTCACTGTTATTCTGTTAACAAAGCTTTCACAGTTTGCTGCTTGTAATCATGTTTGCTTTTGATGTGTGTCTTGTATATCTAACCAGATCACCCTAATGTAACAATTGAACATTGCACTAGGTTGGTTATTTGAATGTGTCAAGACATATTTTGTAAAAGTGTCTCACTTTTTATACAGTGGTAGAATTCACAAACCTTTAAACAAATGCTATATAGTTACATTAACTTTTTTTCTTAGTGTTAAGAACATGATTTTATTTATTGTAGGGAATTGATTTTGACGTAACATTTACAGAACCTATTTTTATTTTAAGTTTATTTATAAGTAAGGATTTGAAGCATATGTGTAGGTAATAGATTTACTGGATTGTAAATGTGTCGCTTTATCAGTATATATGTAGTCATAAACTGAAAGCTTCTGCACACTAATTTGCGTGCAGCAGAGGAGAGTAACTTTATTTTCAATGTTTCCCAGAGCCTGTAATTACCTGCAAGCTGTCTGACGTCTATGTTCTTCGTGGAAATCCGGCTGACTTAACAGTGAAGATCGACATTGACTGCGACAGCTCCTGGTTCAAAGATGGAGAGCAGGTACTGTAGAGCCCTTTGATAGCAACACACTTACAATATGAAAACTATAGAGATTGATATTTTCCCTGACTTAGTAATTAAAGTAGTTTGGGACTATAAGCAGTACGATATATTTTTAAGGGATTTTTTTGCATATTTGATAATGTAACAAACAAATAAAGTTTCCTTTTCACCTTTAATGTGCTAGTTAAACTCAAGTTCTGAGGTCAAAATAACCAAAGCTGGAACCTCTCACAACCTGTCGATTCGAAGCTGCAGTGAGGACGACTCTGGAGTTTATCGTTTTGAAACAGGGAGTGTCAGTACACAAGGAAAAGTCACTGTTGGAGGTAGAAATAACATCCCTCGGTAGCAGAACATATAGTAACTGCCACAATAGTTTCTGTGGAGTAAACTGAATTACTCTTTGTGCTTCATAGTCGTACCTGAATTTGACCCAGATGACCTTCACAAATTCTCCAAACCTGTGATCGTAAGAGTGGGGCAGAACGCTGCCTTCAAGATGCCCTTGACTCCTCAGGAGGGTTTGGTGGTTAGTTGGTTCAAGGATGGCGCTGAGCTCAATGACGGAGGAGGAGTAAAGATCGTGAGGGAGCCCAATCACAGCCGGCTGCTTCTCAGAGACTGCCTGCGGACAGACGCGGGGGAAATAAAGATCCAGCTCAAAAACCCATTTGGGGCTGTGGAGGCCACATCTCGGCTTATTGTGCTTGGTAAGAAAAAAAAGTGATCCAACAAGAAAAGTGAGAAATACTGACGGATAAAAATATCACATTTGCAGTAATCGTTTGCCCCTACACTCACAGCCAACACATAACACATCAAATGTGAACGTACTAATCATCAGGGCTTACGTTGTGTCAAAAATGCAGTCTAAATGTATTGTTTTGTCATTCTTATTCTTTATTGATTATAAAACATATTTAAGAGCGCTTAATAATAATTCACTAATAAGATTGTTTTGTATGGAGAAAAAAGATGATAAGAAATATTGAAGTCAGAAGTGGGTTCGACTTTTATTCTCAAACCTACATAAAGTACATTACATTTATTCTTGTGTTTACTCTAAAAAAGAAACCAGCCATTTTACCTAAATAGGAAATGTGAATAATTTGACAAACATATTTTTTGGTGCCTTTTCCTCAGATATACAACTTCTCATGGCCGTTTAGATTTTATTCCAAAAGCTAAACCAATTGAGCTCATCTTTCACAATGGAGATTATGAATTACCAGGGACCCTTCAGCTAAATGTTGAAAGTCGGAAAAATTCTCACACAAATGGATCAGAAGTCAGCAGGACTCGCTAAACATTGTATTTATAGAGATAGGGATAGTGGTGGTCTAATGGATAGTGAGGTGGGCTGAAGATCGGAAGGTTGTGAGTTCAAATCCCTCCAGGAACACCACCACTAGTGTGTGCCCTTGAGTAAGGCACTTAGCCCTTAGTTACTCCAGGGAGAATGTCCCTGTAATTTGTCATTGTAAGTCGCTTTGGATAAAAGCGTCAGCTAAATGTAATGTAATTTACCGATCCTGCAAGCGATCAATGCACCGAGGAGCAAGCCTTTCATCATGTGCTTTTTTCCAAATGACAGACATGCGTCAAATAAAAAACGTGTCATCGTTGAAGATATCGATGAAAATAGCTACCTCAGATAAGCATCATATTACTATACTTTATATAATTACATTTTAAATGTTGCCCCATCTTTTTGTCACAGATAAACCAGGTCCACCGGAGGGTCCAGTGGAAGTTGTTGAAAGCACGTCAACCATGATTGAGATTCAATGGAACCCTCCCAAAGACGATGGCTGCTCCCCTGTCACCAACTATGTTATAGAGCGTCAGCAGGAAAGACAAAGTCACTGGATGAAACTTGGCGATGTCTTAGCTGACAAGACCTCCTTCAGAGATAGGAATGTGGCTCATGGGAAGATATACAACTACCGCATCTACGCAGAAAACCCACAGGGCGTCAGCGACTCCCTGGAGACGGCTGATAGCATTATGGCTGGAATATTGAGTGAGAAAAGAAAAAAAAACTGTCTCATTTAGCATTCCTCAGCGAATACCATGCTAATCTCCCTCAGGGTGTAATAAATGAAAATGCCTCTGTATAGTTGCACTACATTGTCACTGTAGAAAGCCCACATTGTAGCATTGATGTAAACGTTGCCCTATGTACTAAGTAAATGCCCTTTAGTGATGTGGATGTCATTAATGTATTCAATGTCTTTAATTAATTCTTAATTATTAATAATGAACTTACTTGATTAATTAGACTTCTTGTTATTCCTTAGTTCTCTCAGGTCCACCCGGTGCCCCCACACTGGTGAGTGCCACCAAGACCTGCATCACGTTGACATGGACCCCTCCTGAGGACGACAGAGGAGTACCAATCATCGGTTACCAATTGGAGAAACGAAAGAAGGATACAAATAAGTGGATTGCCCTGAATGCACTTAATGAACCTATTGAAGGTTGGTCAGACAAACATACGATTATGTTTTTGATTGAATAAAAATGTGCTTAATGTCATTGTGTCCTGCACGGCTATAATTGTGTTTTCAGATGTGAACTATGCAGTGAAAGATGTTACTGAGGGAGCAGAGTATGAGTTCAGGGTCGCAGCGATCAATGAGTCAGGAGCGGGAGATCCAAGTCCCCCCTCTGAAATGGTGTGTGCAAAGAATCCCAACAGTAAGTTGTTAACTGTCTCTGTTGTGTCTATTAATTATTTAACTATCCAGAACAATTTGTTTGTTTCCATCAGCATGTCATGTTTAATGTGTTTTCTTCCAGTGAGACCTTGTTTTAAAGACCCAGAGGACTTCATTGTTGTCAGAGCAGGAAACTCTGTACGTGTGAACATTTGCTATGAGGTAAGGACAAGCCTAAAAGCTGGTATGTATACAGCGTCTTTCTTCCATGGTGTGAATCCTAAATCTATCTTTTTTTACTCATTTAATAACCCGTTAACCCATTGCAGGAATGTCATATTCTTGAGTGATGAGTTTACTATAGTGTGATGTGACTGCATATTGAAGGTCTCACACTTTATCAAATTTATCCAATATTGATATTTCCAGGCTGAACCTCCACCTCAGATCACTTGGTTGAGGAATGATGAGCCAATATCCCCGTGGATTAGTGTCATCAATACAGAGGGAATGTCTCAGCTTGTTATTCCCTCATCAAAGCGCTCAGATTCAGCTATCTACACTATCCATGCCAAAAACTCAGTTGGTGAAGCTTCATTTGACATTGAGGTTAGAGTCACAGGTAAGGACAAATAATGATACACTTTTAAGCGCAGATCAATTTTTGTACTGAAACTACTCATAGGAATTATTTTGAGCTGATATTAACTGCATGTAAGTCTCATGTCTTCTAATGAGGAATTCATGTCTCATTTGCCTGCATTTCGTTCCCCTGGTCAGAGGAAAACCTCATTAATATTGACACCCGACAATATTCATTGAGTAATGTTTAGCCAATTAAACCTCAATGACACACTGATGTATTAGTAAACCAATGCCAAACCCTAATTAACTGTGAACAACTTCTAAATAGAATGATAAACATAATTCTTACTGTGTAGCATGCAGTAATAGGATATGATTAATTTAAAAACAGCTGTTTTTGCAAATGTTATACAAAAACCCAAGGGGAAAGGAAATGCCTCTTGAGTAAGATTATAAGCCTAGAGCAATTGATCTTGGCTTCTCTTAGCCAATAATCAGATTGTTATATGTTTTGTTATTAGATGAACCCAAGTCTCCAGGGCCAGTGGAGCTGGAGCAAACAGTCCAGGACAAAGTGATGATTTCATGGGCTCCATCTCCAGACCAGGAGCTGGACGACCGCCTGTACTACATGGTGTCTCAACACGACTCTAACACCAGAGTGTGGCGGAATATAGCAGATCGCCTCTTCACTAACACATACACAGCCAGCAAAATCTATCCTGGGAGAGAGTACCATTTCCGGGTCTACGCCAAGAATGACGTGGGACTCTCAGATCCATCCGAGTCTCCCACATGGGGTGCCAACAGCAACAGAGGTGGGTATTACTAGCTGTTCCAGTTTAGGATGTTTGACAAGGTTTGAAAAATGTAAATGTAATCGTAAAAAGTTGTATTTTACTTAACAAATGTTGCATTCTCTGCACTAGATAAGAATATAAATATATTTTCCAACTTAATTATTGATTTTTGTTTGTTTACTATTGGCTTGATCATGACTCCATTACACATTAGCTAACTTCAATGCTAGAAGAATATTCTAGTACATTAACTACGAAAACGACCAAAAACTAACTAGACTTCAGAACAATCACGCCCTTCCAACAGTTTATGTTCCCATATAGCCTAAAGTGTGGTTTAAGTACTGTATAAGCTTCCTAACAGCTCTGGTGCACTAATAATATGCCAAACAGTTTAAAAGAGATTCAATATATTGTGGTGGTTATAGATGTATAGAGCTTTTACACCAACAAGGACATGTCAGTCAGCCAATCGATCAAAACATTTACAGAACATCGGATGGATTGCCATGAATCTTTTTCATTGCATATTGTTGAGATAAGACTAAATAAAACCTACTAAAGTTGCTAGCATCGCTGTAGACAGTCTTATTTTTACTTCCAAAGTATAATCACAATAATGGAGCACTGAAAGAACATTGCAAAAACCCTACATGTTTATTTATTTCAAACTTGGGTTATGCAAGCAAAAGTCTGAAACAATCTTCCTCTTTTCATGTTTCTCATCAAGTTCCAATATCTTCATATGGAGTTGTTTCGTCAGAGATCAGCTTTGAGAGGCCTCCATCTATCTTGGTTCCTCTGAAAGTCCACACACCACCTAAAGGTTACCAACTTTACATGACATGTGCCGTCAGAGGATGCCCTCGACCCACTGTAGCCTGGTACCTGAACGACGTCTGCATCAACTCAGATAAAAACTACTACATCACCAACTCATGTGGTGTGTGCTCCATTTACATTCTCAGAGTAAGATCAATAGACAGCGGAGATTACAGAGTTGTTGCACTCAACTCACTTGGACAGGCAGAGTGTTCTACGAAACTTATTGTGAGAGGTAAGGTTTAACTCAAGAGTTTCAATTGTTTCAGAAAACCCAGTTTTGTTTATTCTTATAATGACTATTGTTGTCTGCTTTTTCTTTACAGAATAAAATGGCATCAAGACAATGCAGCTGTTCCTCTTTTTGAGATATTCTGGATAAGGGTGTGGAATGCTTTGTTTGACTACATAGAATACATTAAAAGTGTGTTTCACTAGCACTAGCTTTCAAGTGCTAGTTTCACTATAACTTATTTTGTAAAGTGCTAGTTTCACTACCACTTTACAAAACAATATAACCAGAATTGTAATGGTTTAACTTATTTTATTTATTTTGAAATATAACTGATTTACAATTGTTATCTTGTCATCAGAAATTATTATTATTTAGCATGATTGAAGTGACAAACTTCGATGACAAAGTCATCCGTCAACATTTTTTCTCTTGTAGCAACTGCAATAAATCAACAAAAATAAAACTTTGTGTAACGTTTTTTTGGTCTTCTATTGTCACTAGATTATTCTTCTTGTGTGCAGTAAGATGAAGTACCTTGGTCATTATATTTCTGATGATCTCATAGATGACAAAGACATCCATAGACAACGCTGCAAACTGTATACCCAGGCAAACATATTAATGCGGAAATTTCACAAGTGCTCTGTAGATGTCAAGGTATCACTTTTTAAAGCTTTCTGTACACCATTGTACACGGCTCACCTGTGGAGTAACTACAAGGCTAGAAGCATACACAAACTAAAAGTTGCATACAATGAGGCTTTACGGTTGCTGCTGAGGGTACCAAGATGGCACAGTGCCAGCCAGCTGTTTGTTAACTTGGGGGTACCTACTTGTCAAGCCCTCTTAAGAAAGTTAATGTACAAATTCATGTGTCGCCTAGAAGACTCGGACAATCATGTCATCTCAATTTTAATTAACCCTGTGAAGAGTTCTACTCGGTTCTCTTCCATGATTTGGAGACATTGGCGCAATAGCCTATACTGACAGTGAGCATGTGTGGCTGGCTGTGATTGGTCTGATTTTAGGTTTTTTATCTGTTTGTTTAAATCTGTTTTGTGTTTAGCTTTTTATCTTATTTATTGATGTGTGTATTGTCTTTTTATATGTGATATGGACCTTGAGTCTGAAATAAAGATTGAAATATTCCTTTATCTATAACTTTTCTTACATTCTAGACAGATTTTGCTGACAGAAAAAAACTTGGCCATCGTTAAAGCATCAGAGGTTTCCAGCATGTGTTTTCAGTAACACAAGGCTCAAATATCTCAGTCAGTGACGTCAAGCACATCACTGAAACACATTAAACCCCCATGAACCGAGTGCATTTCCATATACAGTATATTTATATATACCTAAGCTCCCCAGTAAATTGTCTAGGACGAGATCCTTAGCTGCAAACCTTAAATTAGTCCTTGTTAAATCTAAAGTTGAACAGTCCAACAGCTCAAGACTGTAAATAACAAACCATTGAAGGAAGCATTTGAGGAAGAAAACCATGTTAACCTGCTCGTACTTATATTTTCAAAATAAAAACTGAACAGATACATTCACAATACATACTATATTATACAAGGCCATTCTGAAAAGGCTAACAGAAATTAATGTGATTTTTAAAAAACATTGCTGCTTACATTTTGATCCACATATAGCCATGATGCCTGTTTTATTTTTCAAGGAATTATACTTACCCCTAAGAGCAAACATTTTAAATAATTCCAATTTGTTTTTCCTGAAATATTTAGCGGGTTTTGAATGTACTTGTACTTACCTCTTTCCTCTGCCAGGTCAGAGGTGATATCTGTGTTTATTTTCCACTCGTGCCTTAAGGCTTTTCTTGCAGTTAAGTCTCTTTTATGAGGTCGGGTGACGATTCAAACTCTCTGCATAAGTCATGCTTGTTTAACCTCTGACAATGTGAACACAAAAACCTGCTTAGTGCATGGCGCACGGTGCACACTATGAGCAACATCTTTTTATAATGCTACCACAGGACCAGTGTGACTCACCGAACCACAGGCATGCTGTGAGGATTCTCGTTGATACCTTTGGAATCTAATTGGAAAGCCAATTCATTCATATCAACCATAGATTATTTTACCAAGTAAAATGTCTCATGTTAAAGTTTATTGGCCAATAAAGTCAATAGTAAAGTGATCCAATTACTAGAGACCTTGTAGGGCATCCAAAGGAAGATGCTTTGACCCTTGCAACGCTATTGTGCATCAATAAATCATATGCCTTAACTATCAACAAATACATCCATCTAAAATTAATCTTTGTTAAAATTTGAATCTCGATATTGGTATATAATGAACCTGTTGTTTTTATATTGTCAACAGTATTGCCGAAAACTGTTGACTGGATATGTCCAATACCAGATTGAATGAACAGTCATAATGTATTTCCAGTGCCAACTGAAAGTGATCGCTTTTATAGGGATGGGTAAGAGGAAACTCCACCCTTTAGTACTGCTGTAATATGGGTTTTTCGCAACTGCATTTCACCCATGTATGGGTTTTTATGCGCCCCAAACTTTTATCACCGAACAAAAAGGGGTGTCACTTTTAAAATATTGGACAGTGAGAACTGTTCTAGCGGAAGAAGGATAGAGGAAGATAGACAACGAAGAACTGAAAGTGAGTACGATTAATTTTTTTAACTCCCTTCTGTGTGAATAATTACCATTAAATGAATCTTCTTTACAATAACTTGTGTAGTGTCACAGGTACAGGATTGATATCTTTAAAAGCAAACCCTAAAATAATGTGTTTCCAGAACTGCAAAGTGATCGCTTTCATAGAAATGGGTAAGAGGAACCTCTACCTTTAATACTGCTGTAATATGGGTTTTTAGCACTACACTTCAAACTTTTATCACCGATCAAATTGGGGTGTCACCTTTAAAATATTGTACAGGCTTTGAAAAGGATAGTTGACGATAGAAACAAAGAACTGAAAGTCAGTCCGATTGATTTTTTAAATTACTGTCAAAATAGTGTATTTAATTAAAAAGATCTACTGACCGGTGTGTTTGAAACCCTAATACAGGACAGCTTTAGTCTACAAAAGGTACAATATGGGAGAACAGGAATGCATCACTTGTTGAGAGGACAATATGACAAACAGTACAGACCATATCAAATACATTTTTTAATTCTAAATATTTTTTATTTATTACACTAGGTTACTTCAAGACAAATAGAATAATGAGTTATTAAAGTGGGTTTATGAATACCATCAATTATGTACACCATTAGATTGGGTTTATCGGCCTTTTATAGAGTTTTTGATATATATATTTAAAGCCCTGCATAATTCTTTTTTATTTTACTCTTAAAAATTGTAAGTGGATTGTATGATAGCACAGCCTCACTTCTTACCTGGGCCACAACATCCAGAATCAGCTAAATATACTATACTGTATGTAGTGCTACAGGCTCAGTAGCAGGAAATGTGATGTAAAGTAAACCCTAAAATGGTGCTTACTTTGTGTCGTTTAAGAATGATTGCAGTGGAAATGGCAGAATTGGTATGCCCTGTAAAAGCAGTAAAATAATGTATGGACCTCTTGAAAACATCCTGTTATACTGATGTTTAGGATCTGTTGTGACATATTTCACCAATGAATGTGACCTTTAAAACTAGCTGCCCATGACTAACAAGGGATTGAGCAGGAGACTATGATCAGTTTTCACTACAGGATGTATTACACATTAAAACCTTGATTATTTTTACTCTGGCTTATAGGTGTTCAAGGTCACGTATCCTTTTTCACAATTTTAATGTTCCTCTTGTGGTCCTTTAAATTAAAGGGCAATGAAAAAAACCTCATGGTCATTATTTTTGATGTACAGCCAAATTAAATTCCATTCAGCACTATGATAAATAAAAAATTATTTTACTTTTAGATTTAAATGACCATAAACAGTTGTTTGGTCATTGCTATCCACTGATACTTGACATAACAGTCTCATTAGCGACAGTCAAAGTAGGTCTAAGTAATCTCTAGAATCTTTCTAAAGCCCCGTTAAAAAAATATACTGTATCTCTTATTAACTATGCGGAGGTTTTGTTTTTAAATGTCACAGTTCACAATTAGTGCTTTTCATCTACCAACTCAAATAACAACAACATAAACATTCAGGACAAGAAGTTTGAGGTTACATTTTCAGTCTTTTGCTGGTAGTAAACAACCAGACACCCGACTGGGCAAATCATAATGTTTAATTGGTGGCATAAAAGAGATTTACAGATATGTGCGTTGGCTTAGCAGTTTGATTTCGAAGACGTTCTGCTCGTGTCTAAGTTTGGGTCCTGAGCAGTTAAATTGTTGGCACAGCCACGAGTCTCCATATGCAGTCGGTCAGCCACTAGGTGGGATTTCACATTCCCGATTTACTGTGTCCCAGAATGTTTCAGAGTGTCTGCACAAATCACGTTGGAGTCAGGCATCCCCACCTTGACAGGCTGATGTCATATGGTAACATACTGTAGATGACACATGAGGAGAACTCCAAAGGCATGGTGTCTCAACCTTTACTGGGTTGCCCCCATGCCCCCATTTTTGGGTCCGCCAGGTTCTTGTGACCCCAGCACCAAAGTTGAGTCATGGGACTGTAAGGGACATGGGAGTATACTTGTGACTGTGTGGGGAGCTCATCTTACATGAGTTTGATATTACTACATTTTAGCTGAAACAATAGTTGAATGATCAATTAGACAAATGTTATCATAATGGATTCATTCTCCAAGTAATTTTCTAAGCTAAAATGCATATAATTCCATTTTATAAAATGTGAATATGTTTGTCTTAACTCATTATCTAAGTATCATTATCAGCTTCCAATCTTACTTAAACTGTGTTAACAAAAGTTTAAAGTAATAAGAATTTTAAAAGAAGAGACATCCATGTAGACTAAGAAAGACTTTTCTTTACCAATTTCACCAAAGTTGTCTCTTAAGGAGAACAACATTTAAGGAAATTCAAAATGTAACTATAATTCAAGTTTATTAACATTTGGAATAAAACTCAAATGTAAATAATTATTTGTCTTCATCAGAGAACAGAGTGTATTGCAGAGTTCCACTGGATCAGATCAACATGGAACAACCGTTCTCTATTACGATTAAATGTCAACTTTGTAAAAACTGTAAACAATGAAAAAACTGGTATAGCTACATACAATTGTGATTCTGGTGTGTTCCAGGCTGGTGTGTTTCCACTACAAAGTGATCAAATCTGTGAGTTGAGAAACATCAGACGTCGCTGCAATGAGTTTGAAAACTAACCAGGGCCCAAATGCCCAGGGTAAGTTTGCAAAATGTGTTGTGTGTTTTGTTTATTGTAGAAGGAAATATGGAGTGGTTGTTATAGACTACCATTTTGTTTAAATGGCCTATACTTTACACACATTGGCATAAACCTAACCAAAAGAGAAGAAAAGTAATAAACATGCATTTGAACTTCATTTGACATCAGGCATAGTACTTCTTCAGTACTTCTGAATAAGAAAATAACTCTATAATGGAATGAAGGAAAACAAGTTTACCAATTTCCTTTTTACCTCCAAGAAAAACGATCCCAGACTGTCTGAAACCATTCACACGTGTTGTAGAGGCCTAGTGTTGGTGGCTGAATGTGCTTTATGAACAGCTACAGGTACATCAGCTCTAGAATGCCGACACATTTATACTGAAGGTGTCCTGAGAACTGCTGGTGCCCAAATCTAACATTTCCTCAGCAGTGATTGGTATGCAACGCCTGACTGCTTCCCTACCAGACTTGGATTAGGTGTGGACCAATGCCAGAGGAGCAGGAATCCTGCCTGCATTCAGATGATATACTGTAAGAGTGTAAGCCAATCCCCTGGGAGATGACGCATACAGTATGATGAATATGCAATATATGCCCTCTATTTGGAGAAGGGCTGCTGTTTAAATGTGATGAAGGATGGGTAACCAAAACATAACTCACTTGGAAGTATTAAAATAATAAGTCAATCCTTGGCTTTCTGTGTGTTCGTGCAAATGATTTATTCAAGAGAGAGCAGGATATGGTTTCACTTTAAAAACACTTTGTTGTTGCATTCCTATATTGACAAAATAACTTATTTCATACAGTATGTTTGTTTGGGAACTGAAAAGTTGTGATTTTATTTTTTTTTCATTTTGTCTTTCCATAACATGTTCACTTGCCTCTTACATATGTTTCCATGTGAATTGGTGCAACTACAGCAGTTTTCATAGCAGAATATTAACATATTAATTCTAAAGTGAATATATAGCTTGAAGAGTCATTTTATAATCATAAGTTGTCTAAATAACTTTTCTCTAAAAATGGCTCACTGGCCACTGACTCCTTTTGAAAACCAGATTGTCATTTCTTATAGATATATATATTTATAGATCTATAGATATATATATAACTACCGATATATCTGAACGTTTTGCTGTGGTATGTAGTATAAGAGATATCTCTAAAAAGTCTAAATCCGTAGACTACAATAGTGCCATATGGCTCAAGATTTTACAGTTAACAACAGCTGTGGGAAACATTAGATTCTGCACACAGTAATTAGCTGTTTGTCCTTTCTGTGTTATGCAGCAGTAAAGTCATGCTCTAAGGCCTCATAGCGAACGAAGAAGCTCTGAGTCATTGCTAGTTGTGATGCTGCTTAAGGAAAAGCAGTAACAGATGGCAGGTCAGAGTTTCTGATTTTAAAAGCTGTTTGATGAACTCACTTGTCTGTGCTGAGTCATCCTATGGTTGAATATTAAAAAGGAATAAGGATTACAAAATGTGTCACCCATATCTGTAATACTGTCTCCACTGACACAGGAGGAACTTTAATGGTTTCCAAGGGTGACAGTGCACTTCAAATACTTTTTTTAATAATTAATACACGTTAGTCTGGTGGTAATTTACGTCATGATGATTATTATATTATTAGCTTACATAATTGTGACAATGATAATTTGGCTATATTATCAATGTGTTGTCATATTGTTTTATAATAATATTTGTATACTGATACTGCTATCTGTCACACAACGCTAAACTAACTCCTCACTCCACACACTAACCAGAACTTTAAAAAGGATACCCAGACATTATGTAAACAACCTACTGTAATCTGTAATCACAGACTGTTGTTATATCATCAAATACATCACCTTAAATGCTCCATCCATACTGCTTTATCCAGACAACTGCTTTTATAATAAAATGGAGTGTTGCTTGATTAAGGACAATTCTTAATGATATAAGTAGACATGTCAGACCTTGTCATGATGCAACTGAAATAGTTGACAAAGTGAAAGGAAATACTGACCCCTTGTGAAATTGTAAATGAACTGCAGCAATAAGTAAAAGCACAAATAATGTCTTCTGATGTGACCATGACTGTTTGTGACTGTACAGATAATATAACTGTTATTTTAACACAAATAATATAAATGAAGAAAGAGTCATAATGCTTAACACATATTTATAACCATATTCAGTTACATGGTTTTCCCCGGCATGTTTTAACGGTAGACTCTGAATAAAGGTTTCAAGTCATGACGTGATTTTCCAAGCATTTAAAAACATTTGCTTTACTTTTTCTGTTGCCTATGTTTGCTTCAAAAACCTCACACTTTCTGATCCTAACAGTGGCTATAAAGAAAAGGTCCAGAGTTGCCGGGGTGATGATCAATCAGTATCTGGAGATATTACCTGCAGGAAAGACCACACCTGATTTTACCCGCAAGCCAATGGCTGTGACTGCTCCAGAGGGTAAATAACAAACAACCACAACATTGTATATTCATCAAACACCATCTCTACAAATCTATCACTGTTGTTTGGATTTTTCAGGTAAAAAAGGGTTGTTCAAAGCCATTGTTAGTGGTGAGCCGGCACCCACTGTAACATGGGCGCGGAATAACGGCGAGCTTAATGAGCCAGAAAAGTACACGACCAGATATGATCAAAGATCTCACGAGCACATTCTGGAGGTGAGAAAACAGCATTTACATAAATCACTACACGTCTAGTAAAACACAAAACCCTTTTCCTGTTATTCCAAACTTAGTGATTTTGTAAAAAATTGTAATTTAATGTAATTGCTTACTCAAGTTTACTAACTTTGATTTGTTCTCAGAGAACTTCGAAGTACTCAATTACAAAAGCTTATTATTCATCACAATGTGAGACATTACCAAATATTCAGCATTAAAGATGTAATCCAACTATGAAGATATTGCTTTATCAGATCATCAATATCAAACCGGATCAAGCTGGCGCGTACAAATGCCTCGCCACCAATGAGTATGGACAGGCTGTCTGCACTGCAAATCTCAATGTTATTGAAGGTAAAAGACAGATTATTACCATGCCATGTTCAATGTAAATCAATGAAATTAAGGTAATATATTGTGAAGCTAATATTTACCTATGATTTCTTGTTTTTGTTTTCATGTTTTTATTTCAGTTGGTGTTAAGAAGAAAGCACCGGCGGGTATGAAACTATGCTTTGTATGCGTGATTAGGCATTCATATTTTTTGAATTACAGAGATTACATAATTGTGTCGTTTACTGAATTCTAGCTACAATAGAAATGTTGGTGGACATGCTAATATACCAACACCTATTCCTTGATTAAAAGAAGTGCAGAGCGAGATTCTGTAGATTCAAAGAAGTACAAAGTAAGAAAAACTGTTTGTTCTAGGGTTTACATAGATTCATAAAGGACAGTTTATTGTTTGAATAAATATTATGAGAATTATATATGTTGAATTATTTGCCATCACAAAAACCTGTGTCTTATTTTTCATTTTCTTTCAGCAAATGGAGATGCACCATTAGATTTCAGAAAGATGCTTAAGAAAACGTAAGTTCAAGTTCAATGATTTGTTATTGCTTTTCAAATATCTCCAAATATATGTCCCTCTCTTCTTCTCTTTTCAGTGTTGTTGTCACCAGAAAAAAAAAACTCCCACCAAAAAAGGATGGAGAAATTGATCCAAAGCTCCTTGAACTGCTTATCTGTGCACCAAAGAAGGACTATGAAAAGATCTGTGCAGACTTTGGTGTGTTTGACTTTCGCTGGTTGCTGAAGAGACTCAACCAGCTGAAAAAGGAACGGTTAGATGAGCAGGCTAAGGTACTGAGTTGTAGGCAGGTTATAAAATATGTAAATGTATTCTTGATTATGTATTTTTTGTGGGGTCTTAAACAAGTTTCAATACTAAATTAAACATTTTAGGTGGGTGTTAGGCTACTTTTGGCTCATGAAAAATATTCGAAGTAATGTTTTCCATGTTCTGAATGTATTAATATGCCTGAGGCAAATACGTCCTATGCATCTTATAAAGTAAGCATCCATGCTCCGTTCAAGGTCGCTTCAATTTAAAATGTCATTTATTATGTCAGAGCATCCTTTTCAAACATAAAAATACAGAACATTTTGTTTTTCTTTTGTAGGTTGTAGAGCAACTGGACAATGTGAAACAAATAGAAGTAAAACCCAATGGGACAGCTGAATTTAGCCTCGACATGAAACTTCAGGATCCCAACAGTTCAATTAACTTATACAAGGTGAGTTATCAGTATTTGAAGATCAACAATTTGAATAAAATGATTGCCAAAAACTAAAAAAAGCAATACAAAAAGAGAAATTGAACCTGTTTTCTCCTTACAGGATGGGACACTGCTTCCATATGGTGATGATGACAATTCAAAGCATAGCCTTAAGCAAACTGGGACAAATTATGTTTTCAGCATCAAAAATCCTCAACCAGAAGATGCTGGATTTTACCAGCTTGATGTTGAAGATGCAAATGTCTTAGCAACTGAATTTAAAGGTGGGGTCTTATTACTGCAACTGTACTCAAAAGCATGATTGTACTAGGAGTTTGCAAAACAATTGAAGGAACATTCAGAAATGAGAATACGGCCAGTTAATCCACACTTTTTCTCCTCTCTTAGTGCCTCCAGTGGGTTTCATAGCCAAGATCAAGGATGTGAAGACGTTTGAAAGTGAAGAAGCCGTCTTTCAGTGTGTCTTGTCAACACCCCTCAACAGGATTACCTGGTCAAATAAGGACTTGACACTTGAACATGGGGACAAATATGAGATCACTGTCTCAGAGGACAAGCTAATCCACACATTGAAAGTTAAAGACTGTAAATTGGCAGATACTGGAGCATATTATGCCATTGCTGGAATAGCTTCTAGCAGTGCCTCTCTTACAGTAGAAGGTGGGAAATCATTTGATAAACACAATAATATATACAATTTCTAGTCTTGATAGTTTGATACCTGGATGAGCACTTTCTGAAGCGCTCGTTTTAAAAATGTAAGAAAAGTTCATGATTATTTCTCCATACAATGTGTTTTCTGAAATTCAGTTGATCCAAATGGTAAAGGCCAAAAGGGCACCCAAACTGGGAATGAAGAAGACCTGACTAAACTGGCGTTGGATCAGCAGGCCAAGCTACCAAAACACACTGAACAGTTGGAGGCAGATGGCACTGGAGATGGCAGTGGAGATGGGACTGGTGGGAAGGGTGATGGAGACGGCACAGATAAGGACCTTCAGACAGGTGGAGATGACGGAAATAAAGGGGATGATGCAGATGATAAGAACAAGAAGCGAGTACGAAGCGGCCCTTTGGTTCCTGACACTGTTATAGGTAAAATCCTTATATATTAATTGTCAAGGCTATTTGGAGTCCGTATTTATCAAGGGTCTCAGAATTAATCCTAGGTATAGCACTGAAAGTTTCACTAAAAATAGTAATATAGTGATTGCACAGCAGGAAGCGTTCTACTCCAGGGAAGAAAGAACAGGAAAAAGGTATAATGACAAATGTGATGTTTATCATTAAGACCTATACATTAAATTAAACATCTTCAAAATGTTCAATATGGAGTGTTTAATGTCAGAATTCTGAATCTTTAATAAAACTGAATTCAGGGATAGAAATTAGTCAGAAATCAGTAGTCAAGGATGTGGAGTTGAAATTATGAATTATAATAAAAGTACTTTAGGAGTAAATAGCTTTTGGTATTCCAATATTATATAACTCACTACAGCTAGACATTTTATGGCTCATCGGACAAACTAATAACTCAAATAAATGATATAGGTAATGGACCCTCGGTTATGATCTGCCTCACGAAAAATATTCTGTATTGCTGCATGTTGACCACTAGTGAGACATTCTGTAAAAAATAAAACCAGCATGTTCTGGTCTTTGCTTTCCATGCCCAAGAGGTTACAGGAATACAATGCATACAGTTACATATGGACGAATACAACGCATAGAATTACATATGGATAAATACAATGCACACAGTAATTAAGATCATGTTCTAAATGTCTTTTTTTTTTACTGTTGCAGATACTGGCGTTCAGTTTGTCAGTGGGCTGTCAAATACGCTTGCTAATGTTGGTGACCGGGCAGAGCTTTCTTGCAAACTAAGCAGTGAGACCGCTGTGGGACGTTGGTATAAAAATGGGAAGCTGGTAAGTCAACTTCGATTTTAGAGAACTACATTGACCACTGCTATATGCCATACATATCGACCATTTCCTAGCTTGCATAACCGTATAGATCCATCATACACACAAGTGTTATAGTGCATTGCATACCCTTATTAGTCCAAATGTGTTCTGATAAATATGAAATCTTATGTGACAAGCTAACCGAGGAGGATGGGGTTACAATTATCAAAGATGGAGCCTGTCATAGGTTGATAATTGATTGCTGTAAAAAAGATGATGGAGCTGTGTACCGCTTTGAAGCTGAAGGCCGTAAATCTGAGGCAACACTCAATATTCAAGGTCAGCATGAAAAGTATTAACATGGTATCAATTTATAAATTACCCAATGGTTTAAAAAGGTTTGCGGTTTTGACAAGACATTTCTCTCTAAAATTGAAGATCCACCAAAAATCGATGCCGATGCACTAAGAAAATTCTCAGAGCCAGTCATTATAAGGGCAGGTGAAAATGCAGAATGGAAACTGCCATTCTCAGGTGGGGCGCCAATGACCATACAGTGGTACAAGGATGGTGACGAGCTGTTCCCCGCTCTCAATGTGAAAATTGAAACATCAGATACTGAGAGCAAACTACGCCTTCTTAAGTGTCAAAGGAAAGACTGTGGAGAGGTCAAAATCAAAATCAAAAATGAATACGGTATAATTGAGGCAATATCCAAACTTATTGTGCTGGGTAAGTTGCCAATAAGAGACATAATGCCATGTGTTCCACATTTTACTGTAGGTAAGGAGATAAAGGTTAGTATGATTTATTTTATTTTTATCAACAGACAAACCCACACCACCACAAGGACCTGTGGACATTATGGAAAGCGCTGTTACATCTGTTGAGTTCAAATGGAAACCGCCAAAAGACGATGGTGGATGCCCGGTCACAAACTATATTTTAGAGCGGCAACAAGTAGGACGCAATAAATGGACAAATCTCGGTGAGATTCCTGGAAGCAACCCAAATTACAGAGATTCAGATGTGACACCCGGAAGGAGATACTGTTACAGGATCAGAGCCAAGAACGCAGAAGGCATCAGTGAATACCTGCAGACTGAGGACATACAAGCTGGTGTATTACGTAAGTAACATAATTTAGGCTTTGTAATGGCTGCAGCTGAATAATGAAAAACTCCCAACTTCTCGGGAAGCAGGTAAAGTTAAGAATGAAACAAGAAAAAAATGTGATTTATTTTTTGTATTTTGTAGGACCATTAATCACAGAATTAAAATTACAGAAAAAGGATGACCAAAATGTCATGTTCCCCTCACAGGTTACCCTGGACCCCCAGCAGCACCTAAAGTAGTCAGTGCCTTTAAAGACTGCATCAATCTGACATGGTGTCCTCCATGTGACACTGGAGGAACCAAAATAGTGGGATACAATTTGGAAAAAAACAAGAAAGGCACCAATTACTGGAGCCTTGTAAACCAAGGAGGGCCGATTCCAGGTATACAACTTATGGCTAGCTGCAGGAAGAATCCAGTGTAAATGTAATGCCTGATATGATTCGCCAAAAGTAAATGAACATTCCCTATCGACAAGATAACGATTTCTTCCTTTTTCCACAGATACAAAATATGCAGTGAAAGATGTATTTGAAGGGGCGGCATATGTATTTAGGGTGTCTGCTATCAACCTATCTGGTGCTGGAGACCCAAGTCTTCCATCTGGCACAGTAATTGCAAGAGATCCAAAGAGTAAGCCAGTAACACTGAACTCTTGTTTTCTACCACAGTTCTCTCCACTGAAAATTATTCCAGTCATGCTTAATGGTGAACTGACATTCTGCTCAACATTATGCTCTATGTCGCCTTTTAAGTTATTATAAAAGCATTGTAATGCTCAGCCAATAACGTCTCATTACTGTAATTGCAGAACCACCAGGCAAAGTGACAGACCTGAAGTTAACATCCTCCAATTACACCACATTTTCTCTGGCTTGGATAAAACCCAAAGAAATAAAAGGAGTAGAGGATGAGGCCGAAGGCTACTATGTGGAGATCAGACCAATTGAAATCCTTGAATGGATTCGGTGTAATGCTACCCCAATTACTATAACTTCCTACACTGTGCTTGGCCTGAAGGCAATGGCCACATACTGGGTGAGAGTTATTGCCACCAATTATGGAGGTGATGGAGAACCTCAGGGCTTTGACAATTACATCATTGCCATGCCTCCTCCTGGTAAGAAAATGTGAATTATCAACAGTTTCTATCGTTCTCTATATTATTTTGGAATACAGAAGGCTATATCAAAAGTGACATTGCCACTGCTTTATTACTGCAAGAATGCAAAAGACGAGTAATGTATTTTATTGACAGTTCTTTGAAACCCAGAGTTCAAGGGTATAATTGTCGCGACAAGACAGTTTCAACACAATTTTGGGGAGACCAGTATGAACAAAATACCTTAATTCAATTGAATCTTTGTACCAACAACAGTGGTCATTTTAAGGCATGATGCTACATCAAAACACTGTATTACAGGCAAAGCAACATGTTGTTTAATACCAAAGGCATTTCATGCCCATAATGGATACTTAACTGAAGCATGCATACAATGGATTACAGTAAACAAAATATTTGAAAGGGACCTAGCTGGATACAGACAATGCTCAACTTTTAAATATGCTTTAATCCCAAATCTGTACAATGTCCTTAAGAAATTCATATCCATGCCTTAAAGGTTGGGTAGGTAAGTTTGAGAAACCGGCTTGAGATACACTTTTTGTTATATTCCATGGAATGCTCTTAACATCCCGATAGCAATGAATATCTTAAGTGCTTTGACAAAAAATCCATTAAAAAAATTCTTCTGTGGAAGCCGTAGTACTGTAAAAAGCACCATGGCCTACCTGCCTGTCAGCCTTCCATCTGTGCACAAACGTATCTCGTGCCCTCATTGGTCATGTGCGCGTTCGTGTGTGTTGGAGGAGGGGCTCTGTAAAGGAAGTGGCAGATTTTTTCCTGTTGTGTATATTCAAATTCTAGCGCACTTGAGCTGGTTTCTCCAAAATTACCTAACCCACCTTTAAGTAACATTTTGAATTCAGGACTTTTACTTGTATTGGATTATTTTCATAACGCTCATAGACATCTACAAATATGACAAATTAAATTCTTATGATGTAAAATTAAATAGTAACTTTATTTGTCAAAAATA